TCGAACAATTCCGAAGCTACTATAAACAACTTTTGAATGAGAATTGCAGCATCTAAAACAGATAAGTAATAGTGTAAAGTCCTCTAAGTGCATTAGTCCAAAGTCTCTTAAAAGTGTTCCAAAGTTTAATACTTAAAATAAATATTTTAACAATACAAAACATTAGAAATACTTTTTTTTAAAAAAAATAGCTATAAACTTCCAAATTAGAAAATCAGACAAAGTAAAAATCTCTCAAGAGCACTCACTTGAAGTCCTTCAAGTGAGTGCTCTTGAGACTTAAGTCAGTGTTCAAAAGTCTTAAATTTATAAAAATTTCGAATGCAAAAAGTTGTAAAGTAATAAATAATTTTTGAAAGGGGATTACACAGAATTCAAAATAGAAAATTTAACAGAGCAAAGTCTTCTAAGTGCACTCGTCCATTCTCTTAAAAGTACTGAAGTGCAATAACAGAAATTAGAAAAATTCAAAGTTTTTAACATAAATAAAACACAAAATATTTTAGCGAGTGCCTTTAAAATAATAATTAGTTTCATTTTTTATACGATAAAATTTAATTAAAATACAACAAAAACTATATGCATACTTTAAATTTATCTGTTTAATCTATCTGAAGGTTTTGATATATAGGCATTATATATAATATGACAACTTATAATTATTCCATAGGCATTCTAGATACCTATATAACATGAATATATAATTATAATTGTTAGGAGAATTAAAGCTAATAATATTAAATCTTGAAATAGGCACGTGCTCTTTCCTCTTATTGCCCACGGGAGAAAAGAGTTAAAAAAATAAATTCTTGAATTAATAGAGGAGAATATTTTATAGAAATTAAAATTGGAAAGAAAGAATAAGAACATGAATACTGGAAAAATTATGAGTATTTCTTTGTATTCAAGTATTCGCATTCTATAGATCCTTAGAATGCCTATAAATGCAACAGGTATTTATTATATCTATAAAATATTTTCAATAAATATGTGCAGAATTTTATAGACCTTAGAATATTCTATAAAAATAAGTAAAATAGTTATAACTAATTTTTTATAGAATATATATAGGTTATATATACACATGTATTCTGTAAGATATTCACATAAATTACTTTAAAACATGAATATTTTAAGCTCATATTACGGTATAAAACGTAAAGCAGTCACGTATATAATAACATTTACAGGAGAAATGTCATATCCTTCTATATGATAGTTATAAAAATAAATGTGCTGTATTGATAACCTGTTTACAATCAATACATTTGATTACGATAAGTTCTGAATTTGGTATATTTAAAATGATTAATTCTTTACATAAGTTTATCAGTTTACTTATGATGAAAATACTTAAAATTAACAATAAATGAAATCATATATTCAAATTATTAGATAAAAATTGATTTTAAGTCAAATTATAGCAGTGTTTTTACGTAATGAAGAATTCATTAAAAGTTTTTAACAAATAAGTTGTGTAGATAAATAGCTTCTTAAAGTTAAAACATATAATAAATATTACATCATATAAGTTATATACACATTTAAACAAATAAAAAATGTATACATTATATATATATACGAGATGAACATTATTCTGAGAGAGTTATTATTTGATAGAATCAAATTTCGACTTTATTTTTCTTATTTTTTAAACTTTTTTCCTTGTGGAAATCCATACAGAAAGCAGCTTCAAGTTACTACATTATTCTATAATCTATAAATAGCAAAATGCTGCTATATACACATAAAAGATTTTTTTTTTTTTTTTTATTCTACAAAATCCAAAATGTCATCAGCATTAGACCTTACACGCTTCTTGACTAGATATATACTCGTATATAAGAGGGGTGAATAAAATCCAATACATACAAATTTTCGATCCTGTCAAGAGACTAATACACTGATCGACCTTCACATCGTGTGTTGGATAAACAGTTTTAGTCGACTCAGAATAACATTCAATAAATCTGTATGGCTGAATTTTAAATTTTTCCTGTAAAACATGCAATTTTCTTTCGATCGAAGACTGTCTATTATCGAATTTCCAATACTCTTTTTTACTATAGTTCAATATCTAAATGATTATATTTNATTAATTTAATTTACCAATTTTTTAAATGAAAGTTTTATTCAATACACATTTACTTTTACCAATAAATTATTAATAAAGTTAATAAATCAAATGTTTAATATATTTTCACATAACGCATCACTGATTTCTATCGGTATGAAAAGTGCGACTGACAATGCTTATCTTTCGAGTTAGAGCATTTTAATTCATCAAACGAATGGAGTAACAGATAATATAAATGCATAGAATTTCTAATTATGCAAATTTGTTCTTGTCATTTTACAAAATATCAACTTTATTATTTAAAAAAAATTAATTACAAATTAAATTTTATCAACGCTTCTATGACCAATAAATTTCTGAAATTTCTCTGATTAAATCTAAAGTACCACGTGTATTTTTGGAAAAGTTTTGGTTAAATATAAGCATTAAAATGCTGTTTTTTTTTTACAAAGTTTAAACATCAATTGATAAGAATTTACGTATTAAGTTAAGGAAAATCTTATCAGATTAGGAAATTTTGCCTTGTAATCAATATAGATAGAGCACTCAAGTGATATTTAAGTAAAATAGCAAATAAAAACAAATGAAAGTATTTTTATTTATTTATCTAAATATTCTTTAAATGTGATAAAACTAAGTGTTGTATATGTTATATGTCAATGTAATTAAGGAATGACCTTTTAGTTGCTTCGACAAATAACATATCTGTATAACATACAAAACAACATATGTTATATAAAATATAATTAAAAAAATAGAAGAATTTAGATTAATTTCTAAAAAAATAATAAAATAACAATTTTAAAATTTAAATTAGGCCAATGAAATTAATTCTAATATTTTATGATACAAAATATTTAGATAATTATTATAAAATCGAATATTTTAAAAATAGTTTGTAATAATTACATACATTATCTATAGAAACGTCTATTAATATATTGTAAAATAAATATTGTAAATCTATTATATTATATAAAAATAATTTATATCGTAAATATATAACTAACTTTATTAATATTTGTTTTGTTTTGTTATATTCATTTTATTCTTTTATTATATTAATGTTGTATTTGTTTATTTTATATTATTTATTACTGTTTTATAGAAAATCTGGAACATGCTGACTAGTCAATTATTTTCTGTATAAAATACTTTTTTCAATAAATATAAATATATATGGGTGTGTATGTATATTTATTATACTCACACCCTATAAGTAATTATATGAGGACGTTCAAGCATGTGTGCGTGCATGCAAGTTAGTGAGAGTATGTGAATATATATGCGTACAGTACATACACATACAATTTTATAATTTGATATTGATATATATTTTAGAAATTATTACTAAATATAGAAAGTTTAGAAACTAATATACATAAACACCCAAAGTTTATACATATGGTGAGTATGAGTGTTTGAATGTGTGTCACTTTACTCTTAATCTTAAACAAATATTTAATACCATTTAAAATTAATAAATTAAAAACATAATACTCCATTTAAATCTGAAATCTAAGGAAACTGTCTAAAAAAATCATTTTAAGTGAGAATTATTTCAACCATAAATAAAAAAAATACACCTTCTCATCCTTTTGATATAAAGTATATTTTAAACTTATTAAATTTAGATGATAATCTTTTATAGATCAGTTATTTATATATATATGTAGTATTTGTAGCATCACAAAATTCTCATCTAGAAGAATACTTTAGATCATATTTCAATAACAACTTGAAAGTATCTCGTTTATCACCATTCGTCATCTTGCCCTTTAATACCTTTTTTTTAATATAATAACAGGTTAACTTATTCTAATAGATTATAATGTTTATTTTTAAATGTAATAAGATCAAAGGTTAAAAATTTTTACACGTTTAAATCGATTTTACACATTATAAATATATTCATTAGCAGAAGTCTATCCGAATATCGTTGTTAAGAATTCGAGAGATTTTTTTTTTAAAGTAAAATATTCCCTCATAACAAAGTTAAAAAGTGAATATCAAAGTAAGTAGCTTATATATTAACAAAAAAAAATATTTTTTTTACCCGTTTATAGATGTAAGAATGTCAGTTTATATAAAATAATTTGCAAATATTTACTTTATTGACACAAAGCTTACGGATAAATAGAATTTATTGTTATATAATCGAATATTTTATCGGGTAAATTCTATATAATTTACATGTCTATAGATTATGTACCTAATAATCGATTTATGTGTAAACTTTTAGAAAACGTATACATTAAAGTAAATTATTTGAGTTATTTTCATATTAAATTGTTATAAGTTAATAAGTAATATTTACATAGAGTTAGAGAGAAGTTAGTAGGGAATGAAAGCATTACTTACCTATCGACACCGATAACAGCTAACGTATACACACTGACTATAACGGAACAATGCTGCATAAATTGTACGAAAGGGCAGAAATTCGGATCAAATATCCAACGACCAAACATAAAATCTGTGTAAGTAAACGGGATAGAAAATATGGCCATAGTTATATCGGATAAAGCAAGATTAATCAAGAAGATTCTTAATTCTCTCGATGATCTTTTACCAGTTAAAAGTACTATAACAACTGTTATATTCCCAGCAAATGCCATTATAGCAGTTAAAGAATATAAACTGATTAGAAATGCTTGCATTTCTGGACCCAATGCATCGAGTGATGTTATATTATATTCCATATACATAATATCGGTATCGTTTGACGAAATCGAATCATATTCCATGATTAGTTAGAATGGTAGAGTTAGAAAACAAGAGAAAAGATCGAGTGTGTCACACTCTACCTGATGCTCACTTTGGTGTGGCGATACACGTTGTTAGTTGTCTGAATTTCGACCAATGAAAGAAGGGGTGGTGCCGCACAAGCAGGCGCTGTGAGATGTTTGACAGCCAAACGCTTTCTCCCCTTTTGTGTGATGCAATCTTTGCTTTTCCTGTATGCAAAATTTTCATAATCCTTCCTAGCGAATTTCTAGGTAATAATGCTAATTTTAAATTCTTTTTAATTACAAGTTAATTCTAACTAATTATATACTTTAAATTACTTTAGTTATTATCGAGTTAAAATGTTTATTAATTGCTTTTAACTGATGTTACTTGCCTGAAAATGTGTTTAAATTTACAATTGTTTAAACTTTTACAGTTGACGGAGATTTGAAACAAAATGCCTTAATAAAAAACCGTAAATTACGTTTAAGAAGATCATACGAATAGAGTTCAAAGTTCATTAATTTGATCGGAATTTCGAACAAAAATGGAATTTCTCATCGACTGAATCCACATTTACTGGATAATGGAACTTACCATTAATATAAACATAGACCGCAATACTGTTATTGTTATGCTGGGTACTAACTTATGGAAATTCTCACTGACTGTAATCTTAGATGATAATTTAATTTCCATAATAAATTTTGGTATAAAATTAACAAAGTATTTAATAAAAATTGTTTTAGATGATAACTTTACTTCCATAACTAAAGCTGGATTAAATGCCATTACATTTGTACTAAATTCGAATTGGGACGAAAGTATCATTTACGTTATCAAATTTATTCTACGTTTATGGAAATTATTATTTATTATCATTTTAGACGATAATATAATTTGTGTATTAAAGTTTGCTTTAAAGTTAATAAGATGCTTTTTATTAATTATCATGGACGAGAATGTTGTAGCAGTCTTCAGGTTTAACGTCAAGTTATGCAAGTTACTTATACTCTTAATGCTAGATGAAAATATACTTTATTTACTAAAATTCAGCGTAAGAATTTCGCAATTATTTGTTAATCTCAGCCTAAATGATACCTCCATTTCCGTAATCATATTCGCCATTAAGCTATGGAAATTCTTGCTGATTCACGTGCTAAACGAAAATATACTTTCAGTATTGATACTTTGCATTCGTTTATGGAAATTTCTACTCATGTTAACATTCAATGAGCAAGTAATTTACATAGTTATGCTTAGTACAAGATTATGCAATGCCCTATCACCTATAGTATTGAACGAGAACATAATTTCCATAACTATGATCAGCATCAAGCTATGGAAATTATTACTGAATTTAATCTTTGATGAGAATATTGTCAGCGTTATACTCTTCAGTTTCAATTTATTTAAGATTTTATCATCATTAATACTGGATGAAAATATAGTTATAGTATTAATGTTTGCTGTTAAAATATGGAAATTAATGATAACATTATTCTTCGATGAGAATATGGTTTTCGTAATAATTGTCTGGTTGAGATTATTAAAATTGTTAATAACATTATTACTAAATGAAAATACAATTAATACTATAGGCGAAGGTTTAAAATTATTTAAATCTTTAACATTATTTTTAGACGAAAATCTTATTTATATTGCCATGAATTGGTTAAAATTATGTAAAATTTTAACTAAATTATTACTAGATGATAATCTTATTACTTTAATTATATGTTTTGTTAAGTTAGGAAAGATTTTATTAACATTAATTCTGGATGAAAATGTGATATCATTAACTATGTTTGGTTTAAAATTATGGAGATCTTTCCTTACTTTAACATTAGATGATAATACTGTTACTATAGCCAAGAATGCAATTAAACTATGCAAATCTTTTGTTACTTTGAAATGTAATGTATTTAATTAAGAGGAATTTTTATATAAAATCAAATTTTTCTAATGGAAATAAATACGTTTTTAAATCTTATTATTCATAGTTTGTATGTGATTCTTATTTAATTAATTAATTACGTATATAGTTTTATAATGTGAAATTAATATTTGACTTTTCTACACTCTACATAAATATTTAAAAAAAAATTATTCGTAAGGAAAAGAGTAATTTTTACATAAACATTTTTTTTTTGACAATTTTATATCCGAAAATTAAATAATTCAATGCAAAATATCTAATTTTTACATTAAAAATACGATAATAATGCAGAAATAAATATCTTTAGATGTTAGTTATATTAATAAATACACTGGATCTTCCGTACATTTTTGATGATAGAAAATTAATTTTTGAGTTTTTACACTTTATATAATTTATTTACAAACGTTAATTGTGTTGTAACTCTGTATAATTTTTACAGCAACAATCTTAAATGTAAAAATTAAATTATTTCATGCACATAATTATTTTTTTTTTCGTCAAAAATTTAATAGCATCGAACCTTCAATAATGGCCACCTCCCAATGACGGTCGCCTGTAAACTGTGGACAATTCTTAAATTATTTATTTATTTATTTTTCTATTTATACAAAACAATTTATAATAATATTTTTATGATTTTTTAAATTAATTTTTCAAATGTTTTTATTAATGGAAAATGAATATTTAAGGCCTTCTACAGTTTACAACATATATAGCAGCACAG